AGCGGGGCTTGATCCCAGGACCCTGGGATCATGACCTGAGCCAAAGGCAGACGCTTAATGACTGAGCCACCCAAGCGCCCCTAGACTATTTAGAAATAAGCAAATAGGGAGGCCATGCCCAGTGGGAGATGCTGCCAGAAGCAGATAGGGAGAAATACTCCCCCTTCCTCCTGCCCTCCAATCGGCCTTCAGTGCCTGCCGTTGGCTAAATTTGGGCAGAAGCCAGTAGGCAAGGGGATGGCCTATGCAAGGGTCAGCCCCTCGCCATGGGGCAGGGCGGAGCAGGGAATGAATCTTCTGAAGGTATATAGGCCCAAGGCGGACACAAACCATGTGAGGGTGGAGTAATTATACTGCCGTTTTACAGAGGAGGAAACTGAGGCCTGGGGAGTCCATGTGCCCTGCCCCAAGGGGTTCAAGCCCTTTTTTCTGCTCTATTTCCCATCTGGGCTGAACTGAAAGGAACTAAAGGGAATGGAAATGTCTATGCAAATCAGGCCCACCCCCAGGGGCTCTGGGGGCTGCTGCAATGGGAGACTCCTCATCCTCACGCTTGGCGGTCACCCACAGAGCTGCAAACAAACACACAGCAGATGTTCTGTCAATGATGAGGGAGCAGTTCTTCCCCAGTAGGTCAGGGCCCCCGGTCAAGCCTGCCCCCACGCCCTGTACCTCCTATTCGAGGACTTTCCCCCATCATCCATCCTCGACCTCTGGACTTTGTGAAAACCCTTGCACAGTGATGGGGGACTAGAAAAGGCCAGACGTCGGGGGGTCCTCCAGCTTCCGATGTCTGCTCCTTAAATTGCTGTCATGCCCATGGTCAGCAGAGATCTCTGGGCTACAAGGCTGACATTTGCCACACACCACTGGGGACAGAGGTCACCTGCAGTTGAGCCTTTGATCCACGGGAGAGGGCCAGACACATCAACCTTTGACCTCCACCCTGGCTTGGACCAAAATGCTCAAACTTTGAGCCTTTCTGTATGCAGGTCTCAAGGTCATTACCTCCCTTTCATTAAGACTTGCTCACAATCAATAGCTGGTAGAGAGTCCTGTGCAAACTTCTTTCTCTACATCCCATTGGCTCAATTACTATGTACTGAGAACCTACTGGATGCCTGGCACCCTTCTTAACAATTGGGCCCAGCAAGAAATAAAAACCCCATCCTCCAGGAGCTGATGTTCTACTGGAAGAGGCAGTCAAGAATCAAAATAGGGGCGCCTGGGTGGCTCAGTTGGTTAAGTGCCTGCCTTCGGCGTGGGTCATGATCCCAGGGTCCTGGGATCGAGTCCCGCATCGGGCTCCCTGCTCAGTGGGGAACTTGCTTCTCCTTCTCCCTCTGCCTGCCTCTCTGCCTACTTGTGCTCTCTCTCTGTGTCAAATAAATAAAATCTTAAAAAAAAAAAGAATCAAAACAAGTAAGAATGACATCATTTGTTAGAATGTGGTAAACGTGCCGGAAACAATGATACTGGGAAGGCATATGAAGAATGTGGGTTAGGAAGGGAACAGTGACTTTAGACCCAGTGTCACCTGAGAAGGTGACATTTGAGTAAAGACCTGAAGGAGGTGAGGGAGTGAGTCATGCAGGTATTTAAGGGAGAGAGGTCCAGTGCAAAGGCCCTGAGGCTGACATGGGATTGACCAGTTCTGGTGAGAAGACCAGTGTAGTCTAAACCACAGAGTAATAAAGGGGGAAGGTGGGAGGAGGTGAGGACAGGTCCTGCAAGGCCTTGTGGGCTGCAGTGAGGGCTATGGCTTTTGCTCAAAGCGAAATGAGAGGCACGGAGGGTTGTGAGCGGAGGAGGGACATGATCTGACTCAGGTGTTTACAGGCTCCTTCTGAGGATGGAAAAAGACTGTGGGGAGTGGAGATGGAAGGAAAAGAGAACTCTAATCCTTCACTCAGCTCAGGAGGGGAGGGTTCGTGTATGTCCCACTCACACCTATAAGGAGACCAGACTCTGAAAGAGTTAACCAGTTGTCTAGGGATACCCAGCCACCTAGCGGCACCCCCTAGATTTGAACATGTGTCTCTGCAACTAGAGTGTTGTTGGGCAAATAATCATTTTTTTGGTAACTTATGTGTCCGTGACATCAGGGGGATAGAGATCTGAGACCCAGGAGACGAAGGGAGGGCTTCCTCTGTCTCTGGTAATACCCCCGCAACAGGATGATTGGAAAAGGAATTCACTCAAGAAACATGTGTTGTTTTTTTTTAAAGATTTTGTTTATTTATTTGACAGAGACACAGCGAGAGAGGGAACACAAGCAGGGGGAGTGGGAGAGGGAGAAGCAGGCTTCCCAACAAGCAGAGAGCCCGACTCGGGGCTCGACCCCAGGACCCTGGGATCACGACCTGAGCCGAAGGCAGACGCCCAACGACTGAGCCACCCAAGCACCCCAAAGAAACATGTATTGGGCGCCTGGGTGGCTCAGTCGGTTAAGCGACTGCCTTCGGCTCAGGTCATGATCCCAGGGTCCTGGGATTGAGCCCCACATCGGGCTCCCTGCTCGGCTGGAAGCCTGCTTCTCCCTCTCCCACTTCCCCTGCTTGTGTTCCCTCTCTCGCTGTGTCTCTCTCTGTCCTATAAATATATAAATAAAATCTTAAAAAAAAAATGAATAAAATCTTTATTTTTTTTAAAGATTTTATTTATTTATTTGACAGAGAGAGAGATAGCGAGAGCAGGAACACAAGCAGGGGGAGTGGGAGAGGGAGAAGCAGGCTTCCCGCTGAGCAGGTAGCCCGATGCGGGGCTCATCCCAGGACCCTGGGATCATGACCTGAGCCGAAGACAGATGCTTAACGACTGAGCCACCCAGGCGCCCTGAATAAAATCTTTAAAAAGAAAAAAAGAAGATAAATACTGGTGGGGAAAAAAAAAAAAAAAAAAAAGGATAAGTGGGTCAGAAGGGCCGGGAATGGGGATTGCAATTTTGAATAGGGTGGTCAGGACAAGCTTCTTGGAGGAGGTGACATTTGAGCAAAGAATTGAAGGAGGTAAGAGAGCCATGTGGAGCTCTGGGGAAAGTATGTTCCAGGCAGAAGAAAGAGCAGTGCAAAGGCCCTGAGGTGGGTTCAACTTAAATGAATGAGTTGCCATTAGGAAGGTCCAGCCATCCCTAACTCCTGCTGCTCTCTCCCCACTTCCGATCTTTGCAACTCTGTTCTTTCAGCCTGGAACACCTTTTCTCCTCTGGACAAACTCCTGATGGGCCTTCAAGTTACAGCTTTAGGGAAGTCACCTCTAAGACCCCTGCCCCCAGGAGTTAAGAGCTCTTCCCCTGGGCTCCCACATACACTGTAGGCCTCCCTTCCCCTATTCTTTTTTTTTTTTAGGATTTTATTTATCTATTTGTCAGAGAGAGAGCATATTCTCTTAGTGCTAGCGAGCACAAGCTGGGGGAGCAGCAGGCAGAGGGAGAAACTGGGGAGCAGCAGGTAGAGGGAGAAGCAGGCTCCCCGATGAGCAAGGAGTCCGATGCGGGACTCAATCCCAGGACACTGCGATCCTGGCCTGAGCCAAAGGCAGACGCTTAACCAACTGAGCCACCCAGGCATCCCCTTTCCCCTATTCTGATTCCTCAACCTTCTGCACTGCACTGAGTATCTCAATGTTGTCTGCTGGATTTACCTACTCAGTACCAGTAGGTGCCTAATAAATCATTAAGCAAGTTCTGTTCCATCATTTGCTACATAATATCCAAACTTCCTGGCACAGGACAGACTTGTAAATCTGCCTATAAATCATAAACTGGTTCTGGGAGGAGACACATAGCTGGTTGTGGTGGTGGCTTTTGGGAGGGGAACAGGGAGGGGCAGGATCAGAGATTGGAGGAGACACTTCACTCTAGTTTTCTTTTGTACTTGTTGAAATTTTCTTTACCTGGTGTGTGAATTACCTACACAAACATAAAATGAATAAATAAAATTCTACAACATAAAGGATTGAAAGACCTTTCTAAATTGCAGAGTGGGTGTAGTTTCAAATACCCACCCACAATTATTCTAGCAGGGATAGAATACCCAATGAAATACATTGTAAATTTTTATTAATACTACACAAAAATATCCATGTTATCTATCAGATGCGGGAAAAAAAAAAAAAAAAGCGCCCACATCTTTAGTAGGTATTCAAGTCCTCCAGGGTCCACCCCATCCCTGCCTTGGCTCTTGACTTGTTTTGATGACAAAACTCACCCTTAATAATAATAATAATAATAATAATAATAATAATAATAATACCACTAAGTGTTCACTTTGTGCTAGGCATGACTTCATTTCATTGAACTCTCACGACCTCTCCATTTCCCAGACGAGGAAACTGAGGTTGGCTCCCAGACCACGTTGGGCCAGCCAGGTGATCAGGCTCGGCGGGGCGGCGAAGGCTGCTATGTGTTCATGACGCCCTCTGGAGGCCTCGCGGGGAAGCTGGCAAAGAACCTAAAAATGAATCTTTAGATTTCAGTTGTAAGGGTGCGCAACGAGGGAGGAAATCCAGAGTCTGCGGACTCCCCCACCTTGCTGTGTTTTCGGAGAGAGTTCTGGGAGTGGACAGGACCCTGTCTAGGAGGCGGAGAAGACACAGACCTAATCTGTGGTTTGATGGGGAACTTACCCTCTGCCTTGGGGAATCTGAGAGGCACGGTCCCACAGCCTCAATACTGAGGGTTTTCTGCGGGAGACGAAGCCCTGCACGTAAACAAACACACAAAACCCCTTCACTGGAAACTGAAAGACCACCGCGGGGGGTCTAGGAGGCTAGACGGGGCGGGGCATGGAGGGCGTGACCGACACCAAAAGCTTAACAGGTATTGGTCATATTCTCTTAGTGCCCGCCCCAGAACCGCCCAGCCATAGGCGGGCCACTTTTCCAGGCTTTAACGCTCACTGGCTGAGCGAGGAGCGTGCCTTTCCGTCAGGGAGATCTCATTGGCTGGATTCTCGCACGGGCTCTTTGGGGGCGGGACCCAGGAAAAAGAGCAGGGCCTACGGAAGGGGCGGGGCTTCTTGCTGCAAGGTCGCGTGTCTCCAGGTGTCGCAGGGGGTCCCTTAGGCCAGGCGTCAAAACTGGAGCCTGGGGGTTAGTCCTGGGGCGGAGATGAAGGCACGCTGGGCCAGGCCCCGCCGACTTCCCTCTTGCACTCAGCTTTCCAACGCCGATCCGAGCGGGGTGGGCGGTGTCGCGGGCGTGATGTCATCGCTAGGCGTCGCGCACATCCCGAAGGAGCCTTGACCTCTTCGCGTGGGGAGCTGCGCCGCAATGCTGCAGCTAGTCCGGGCTGGGGCGCGGGCCTGGCGCAGGCCCACGGGCTGCCGGGTGAGGCGGGGCACTGGGGACGGGGCCGGAGGACGAAGGCTGGAGGTTCCGGGTGTCGTTTCTCACTCTCGTCCACCGTTTACAGGAATTGAACGCGCTGGCGGAAGAGGCAGCACCCCAGGCGGCGAAGCCAGAGTCAGTAGCCAGCGCGGGTGAGGTTGCCAGGGTCGCTCCAGGAGGGGCGGCAACCGGGAGCCCTGACGCTTGGCCCTGACCCCTGACCTCCCAATCGCTTCAGGTCCCCAGGTGCCCGTGCTGCGCAGGTGCGAGCTCCCGGTACCCGCGCCCCGGCGTCCGGTGCAGGCCTGGGTGGAGTCACTGCGCGGCTACGAGCAGGAGCGCGTGGGTCTGGCCGAGCTGCACCCCGAAGTTTTCTCCACAGCGCCCAGGTGAGTGGGAGTGAAATGGTGAAGTGAGTGCCAGAGGGAGGAGGAGCGGGGCTTTAGGAATCAGGATGACCTGGGCTTGAGCCTCAGCTTCTTTACCTGCCAAAAGGGGATGATGATTTTCCCTGCTACTGGCTCATGTAAGATTGAGATCTAAGAGTTAAGGACGCAAAACTCTGGAGCTTCAGTGACTGAGTTCAAATCCTGCCTTCCCGCTTGTGTTTCAGTGTCCCCATTCTGTCAAACCTCAAGAGGTTGCTGTGATGATGAAATGAGTTAATTCTGGCACCTAATAAGTTCTATAGATATGTTGATTATGTTGATTATGATATGCTGTTACCGAATTTTGCAAAAATAAGCACTAAAAATGGTCAAGCCCTGGCATAGCCTATTGGCATTTTGGTTAAGTAGGTCCTTATAGCAACTCTGGGAGAGGGTTCAGTTATTCTTGCTTTGTAGGTAAAGAAACTGAGCACAGACAGGTTAAGAAATTTGCTCAAGGTCGCACAGCTTGTAAGCTTTAGAGTCAGGATCTCAACTTTACGTGGGCCAACTCCTTGGGCTGGCTTATCGGCTTACCAAGGCGTATGATGCCCCTCAAGTGCATTGTATCTGGCACATAATAAGTGCTGTTAACTTATTACTATTACTGATTTTGGCATGGTTTGCCCCCTGCTTTTAGAGTCCCAATCTACTAGAGAGTGACAAAAGAAATTAAAAACAACATATTTTGTGTATTCTGTAAATCCTTACGAAGTGTCTGGTATATGCCAGACTCCATTCTGGGTGTTGGGAAGACAGCAATGAATGAGTACCAAGGTTGCTGATGTTGCTTACAGTCTAGATCAGGGGTCTGCAAACCTTTCTCTGTAAAGGGCCAGAGAGTAAATATTTTAGGCTTTCCAGGCTTTCATGTCGCCATGGCAACTACTCCTCTCAGCTGATGTAGTACAAAAGCAGGGTTGTGTCCCAGTGAAACATATTTACAGAAACAGGCAGCAGGCCAGGTTGGCCTACTAGCCATAGTAGCTTGCCAACCCCGGGCAAGCTACCCCGGCAATCATGTCCAATGTAACCACATAATGTGAGTCACGTGTGTAATTTACATTTTGCTAGTAGCCATGTTTAAAAAAAAAAAAAGGAAGAAACAATCTATTTTATTAACCTGATATACCTAAAATGGTGTCATTTCAACATGGGGCACTGGCCACATTTCAGGGGTTCAACAGGCACATATCTGGCCAGTGTCTACCGAATAGGAGGATAGTGCAGGGCTAGAGAGGCAAACCAGTCCATAAAGAAGGTGGCAAGGAGTAAGTTGTAATGGTAGGAAAAGAGTAAGGTACTGTGAGAAGGAGGAAGTGGTGGCTCTCCTCTTAGCAAGAAGGCTCCTCAGAGATGTTGTTTGGGGCTGAGACCTATGGGCTGAGGAGGAACCAGCCAGGGGAAGAGTGTTTCAGGCAGAGGGAACAGTGAGCTCAAAGGCATGGAGGCTGGACCATTCACAGAATGGAAATGGAGTGGGCCTGGTGGTGGTATGAGATGGGGCAGGGAGGGGCGAGGGCAGATCACACAGGGCCCTGGAGCTGGATGGGAAGAGCCCCTGTTTTCATCTGGTGAGGTGGCGAGGGCTTTAACTGGAGGTAGGCCTCTCACGGCCTCTTCTTTCTCCATAGGTTGGATATCCTGCACCAGGTTGCCATATGGCAGAGGAACTTTAAGAGAATTGTGAGTGCCCAAGTGGGGGAGGTTGGTGGAAGGAGGCAGAGAAAGCTCCTCGGTTTGTCTTCTCTGGATTGTTAGGCTCAGGCCTTACCTTCTCTCTTCTGAACCATTCACTGATGGGTGACGTGCCAGGTGTTTTCTGAACACCCAGTGTACATTAGGCATGGTGCTAGTGGACAAGGCAGGCAAGATCCCTGCCCTTTGGAAGCTCGTAGTCTAGTTAGAGAGGTGAACATGAATCAAGTAGGCAAGCCTGTAAATATATGACTAGGGAAGTTGTCCCAGAGAAAAAGAGACATTTAGCCTCGATGTATAGTAGGTGCTAACTAGGTAAAGGGGGCAGTGGCGCTAAGATGGAGGTAGTGGGAACCGCACATGCAAGGGTCCTGCGGCAGGGACAACATGGAGCCTAGTGTGGCCACAGAGGTCAGCAGGAGCAGTGGTGAGTAGTTTGGATTTTTTTGCCAAGTGCGTTGAAGAACCATTATCAGTCAGGGTCTCTCTGCTTCCCATCTGCTTACCTCAGAAGTCCAGTGAGTGCTTCCCCTATTCACACCCTCCCTAGCTCACCAAGGAAGTCCCTCGTCATCTCCCCACCCCATACCTCTCCCTGATGTTCTCTAGCCTCTGCACATGTTTCCCCACGCCACACCTTCCTTCCGGTTGCCACCACATTAAAATCATTCAAAAAATGCCAAGTGCCTACCATGTGCCAGGCAGCAGAACCCCTGCCTTTCTGGGGCTGACATTCTGGAGCAGACGAGGGGACTCTCGATTTCTTTATTCTTCTCTCCCTCCCCAAGTGCTCTGTGTTTGTCCCGATGGATCCCTGATCTCTGTACCTCCTGTTGTCGGGCTCCCCACTGGCTAGCACCTACTGCCCAGCTCACTGCTGTTTTCCCAGGCCCGGGCCCTCTCAGCCGTGACAGTGTCTGCCTTGGGAACCTGACCGTCCGTCTCCTCCCTTTGCACCCGCAGAGCTATGCCAAGACCAAGACTAGGGCCGAGGTGCAGGGTGGAGGCCGGAAGCCTTGGCCACAGAAAGGCAGTGGGCGTTCCAGGCATGGCAGCATCCGCTCCCCGATCTGGCGAGGAGGTGAGCGGGGCAGGGAGGGAGGGGCCCTGGGGGCATCTTCACACCCATCTGGTGTGATAGCTGTCAGTCCCATTCCTTCCACCTGGGTAGGGGCAGCAGGACTCCGGCCTGCAGACCTCACTACCCGTGTGCGGGTCAGAGATCAGAGAGTCGGCCGCTTTCCCAGCTCCCTGTCAGCTCTGGCCTTAGCCTCTCATCAGACCATGGCCACAGCCCCTCTTGGCCCCAACTCCCGTCTTACGTCTCCTGGACCACCCTGCCCACACAGCACCCAGAGTGCTTTTCCTAAGCCCCCAGGTGGTTCCTGCAGCCTTTTTGGGAAGTCTGGGCTCCTCACCTTGGCATTCCAGGCAGTGGTGCCCACAGGCCCCCCTCGTTCCTCCACATCCTCTCTGACCAGACAACTGATTCAGTGTCAGCTCCTATTTGCCTGGCCAACTCTCCGCATCCTTAGCATGTGTTTGGGCTGTGCCTCTTCCAGGAAGTCCTCCCTGACCTTCTTTGGGTCCCCGGCCCCCAACAACTCCTTGTGCCGCCCCAAAAAGACCACCCTGATTTCCTCTGCAGTTGAACCTCTGTCTGAATGTGAATGACAGGAGGGCAGGGATCCTGCCCATCTTGTTCCCTGCTGCACCCCCAGGGCCCAGCAGAGGGTGGACACACAGGCAGATGGTCCTCACTCACGGTTTGGCAGCTGAGGAAGTCGAGGCCCAGTAAGGCAAAGTTACCTGTCCCAGGCGGTGCTGGATCCAGTGTCCCCTCTCTTTCCCTCCTTGAGGCCCTGTCCTCTTTGCTGATTCGGTTTGCCTGCTGGCAGCCTCCCTACACCAGCCGCTGTGACAAATTTCTGTCCTGTACGCCCAGCTGGGGTCCTCACCTGTCCACACACCTGTGTCTCTGCAGGAGGCATTGCCCACGGCCCCCGGGGCCCCACGAGCTACTACTACATGCTGCCCATGAAGGTGCGGGTGCGGGGCCTCAAGGTGGCGCTGACGGTCAAGCTGGCCCAGGTACGGGCCTGATCCTGTGGGGAGCTGCGGGCACCCGGGGGTGTGGGCTGTGGGGGCTCAGACCGTCCTTTCTTCCTGATAGGATGACCTGCACGTTGTCGACTCCCTGGAGCTGCCGACCTCCGACCCCCAGTACCTGACCGAGCTGGCCCGCTACCGCCGCTGGGGGGACTCTGTGCTCCTTGTAGACTTGTGAGGGTGCGGGGCAGAGCGGGGGTGGGGGCGCTGGGGGCCGTCCTCTGCGGCGCTCACCTCCTGGCCTCCGTTTCAGAGCCCACGAGGACATGCCTCAGAACGTCATAGCAGCCGTCTCCGGCCTCAAGACCTTCAACCTGATCCCGGCTGTCGGTGAGCGGAGGGCCCCAGTTCTCCCCCCACCAGGTCCCCAGCAGTCCATGGGCAGTTAAAAGTCTATACCTGCCAGCTCCTCAACCCAGCCCTCAGCTTGCCCAAATGGAGCATTGGGAAGATGCCATCCTTGAAGAACGGCTCTGTCCAAGCTCAGGGCTCAGTGCAGGGCTCAGAGTGAGTGGAGGGGCTGCTGGCTGTCCTCGTCCGGCTCCTCCCTCCGAGAGGCTGGGAGGTGGGATCCGGTCTGGCTTGGGCATGTCACACCCATCATCACATTGGCTGATCAGTCCCTAGAGCTCTTTCTCGGTGTCCTGATGGCATGACTGGCTTCCTCCCGGACGGCTGCACCTGGGGGTCTCACGGGCACCTTCGCACCTAAGAACTCCTTCCTTCCTGTGGCTCAGGCCCCAGACCATGCTGTCACCCTCCACTCGTCTCTTAGCTCACCCCTTCGGCGTTGACTTTAATATGGGGGATTCCACCACTTCTTACCCCCCAGCACCCCTGTCTCCCGCCGGCCCCGTCCCTGGCCCCTGCTCTATTCCGCAGCCTGTTCTCCCTCACCACGGCCACCAGAGGGCGCCTGTGCGCACCCGAGTCTCCGCGCGGCCCTCCTCTGCCCACGGCCCTCTGCCCACAGCCCTCTGCGGTTCCCACCTCCCTCTGGGATAAGGCCTGAGTTCTCCCTGGGGCCCGCAAGATCCTGCACAACCTGCCCCATCCTGTTCCTGCGCTCGCCGCTGCCTCCTGTCCCGCTCGCTCACTAAGTGCAGTCACAGGCCTCCCGCAGTGCATTCATGCCCCCGCTCTGCCGAGGGTCCGTCTGGCCGGCTGGAGAGGGAGGTGGGGATCCCAGCCCCAGCACAGGGCAGAGCCAGGCACGCAGGAGGCTCTCAATCAGGGACTGAGCTGAGGACCGTCCCTCGCCCGGGGTCTTGCCATCAGTGAGCAGCTGAGCCAGGGTTTGAGCCTAGCCTGCAAGATCTGTGAGCCCATGCCGCACCCGGTGTCTCTAGAGTAGGGCAATACGGGGAGGGGGTTGCTTCCTCGGGGAGGAAAGGGGGCCCCAGAGGGGGTAGGCAGCCCGGCCTGGACTGCATCTCCACCCCCAGGCCTGAACGCGTACAGCATGCTCAAACACCAGACCCTGGTCCTGACCCTGCAGACCATCGCCTTCCTGGAGGAGAAGCTGCTCTGGCACGACTCGCGCTACACGCCCCTCTACCCCTTCCGCCTGCCCTACCGCGACTTTCCCTGAGCCCCGGTCCTCCTCCGCCCTTTGGGGCCCGGCAGCCTCGTGCCCGCCCTGTGGGGGGCGGAGCGGCGCGGCCCAGACCCCGTCATCCCAATGCGGCTGCGCACAGAGCGGCCAAGCACCGAACTCTGGCCCCAATTTTCGCTTTCATTTTTAAGATGAATCTTATTTTTTAATCAAAAAAGAGAAACAGAACAGCTCATTGCCATTGTGTAAATAAATCCACTTGGCAAGTCAAGCTCATCCTCAGTGCTAGGTGCTGCTGGGTACCTCCGTCCTCAGGGCTGTTTACAGCAGTGACCCACACTCAGCTCCAGTAGGACGAGAGGGGCTCCAGGAGGGCGCAGAGGAGGGCCCAGCTGTCCGTAGGAACCAGCTCCCAGTGCCTCCCCACTGCCCAGCACTGGACCCGAGAATTCACATCCCGGTTTGATTCTGCAAATAGGAAGTGTAAACCTGAGCTTTCATCATCATGATTTCCCCTAAGCAGAGTCTGAATCCTTGTGGTCAATAAATGAGCAAATAAACACATTTTTTTAAGAACACCGAACTGGTATCCTAATTCTGGAGTCCACTGCTTTTGTCTGCTCCCCAAGCTAATTTTTTTGTAACAGTCCTGATGCAGACTATAATGTGGTCAGTTTCCTTAAAGTCAGCCAGAACTGACATCTGCGTGTGTCCGTTTAGCCAAGGCCAGGGGGCCACAGTGACCACCCATGGGCTAGGCTGCCCCTTGCCAAAAACATGTCTGGAATGCATCTCTGGGGAGTGCCTTCAGAGCTCACAGCACATTCTTTGAAAATCCTCATGGATATAAACTTTGATCCTTAAAGCACCAGCTTTGACTAAGTAAAAAAGCCATTTGGAGCCTGTAGTAAGAAGGGGTGCAGAGGGTGTGGGAAATGCTGCTTGGGCTAAAGCCAAACTCTTCCCTACCTCTCCCTGCGCCTCTCCCTGGCCAGATGGGGACACGAGGCTTTGAGCAAGACCCAGCTGTTCTGACGGCGCCCAGATAGATCGTTGTAGCTAGAAGTAAGGCTGCTTAGTTGTCTACCTCGCAGCTGTCGGGAAACAGCAAGGCCAACCCCCCGCTCCCGCAGACTTCCCAGAGAGATGTGTTGGAACCTGTTCCACCATACTGGAAACCCGCGGCCAGACCAAGGATGATAAAAGGCACTAGAAAAAAATGATCTGACGGGTGCCTGGGTGGCTCAGTCGGTTAAGCATCCGACTCTTGATGGGGCGCCTGGGTGGCTCAGTCGTTAAGCGTCTGCCTTCTGCTCAGGTCATGATCCCAGGGTCCTGAGATCGAGCCCCACGTCGGGCTCCCTGTTTGGCGGGAAGCCTACTTCTCCCTCCCCCCACTCCCCCTGCTTGTGTTCCCTCTCTCGCTGTCTCTCTGTCAAATAAATAAATAAAATCTTAAAAAAAAAAAAAAAAAAGCATCCGACTCTTGATGTCGGCTCAGGTCATGATCTCAGGGTCATGGGATGGAGTCGTGTGTCAGCTCTGTGTTCAGCAGGGAGTCTGCTGGAGATTCTCCCCCCGCCCTCTGCCCTCCCCCACTCAGGAGCATGCACACGCTCTCTCTCAAATAAATCTTTAAAAAAAGAAAAGAGGGACACCTGGGCGGGACGCCTGCTTCTCCCTCTCCCACTCCCCCTGCTTGTGTTCCCTCTCTCACTGTCTCTCTCTCTCTGTCAAATAAATAAATAAAATCTTAAAAAAAAAAAAGATCTGATGACTAGAATGTGCTTTCAAATAATCGGGAGGCAGTGTGTGTATTGCTAGTTTCCTAGGGCTGCCTTAACCAAGTACCACAGCCTGGATGGCTGAAACAACAGAACCGTATTGTCTCATGGTCCACGAAGCTAGAAATCGAAGATCAAGGTGTCGGCAGGGCTGGTTCCTTCTGAGGCTGCGAGGGAGACTCCGTCCCATCCCTCTCCCCTGGCTTCTGGTGGTTTGCTGGCCATCCTCGGCATGACTGGGCTCGCGGTCACCCCAAGGTCTGCCCTTGTCTTAGAATGGCAATGTCCCCATGGATATCCCTGTGTCCAGATTTCCCCTTTTTATAAGAACACCGGTCATGTTGGGTGAGCCGCCCCCACCACCGCCCCAATGACCTCATCTTATTCGCAGGTCCTGGGGGCTAGCGCTTTTATTTTTTCCTTGCGGGGAGGGGAACCGCTTGATCCTGAGACGGGAGGGGGGGGCGGGGGGTAAGGGGAGAGATGGAACCAGATCAGCCGTGAGAACCATGGAAGCTGGCACGTGTGGCCTCATCGTGTATCCTCTGCTGTCGTCTGTTTGAAATTCTCTGTAACAAGCCTTTTTTATTTTTTAAAAAAGATTTTATTTAACAGAGAGATCATGACCTGAGCCGAAGGCAGTTGCTTAACCAATTGAGCCACCCAGGCACCTATAGTGAGCTTTTTAGAAAAGAGAGAGATGAATGAAGACATTTCTTCAGGGGAGCTTTTGCTACCCACAAGTCCTTCTCCCGCCCGCTTGGGACGTGGACTGACCCAGACAGAGCCCAGACAGGGAGGGCACTTCGCAGTCAGCCGTTCAAGGCAGGAGACCCAGGACTCCCGGGCTGAATCTGGCTTAAGAAAGCAAAAGCAAAAGTGAGCCTCTGGGGCTGGGATCCCACTCGGAGGGCCACCTGGCTCTGACGGTGGGGCCAAGGGGTCTGCTTACTCGTGGACAGCATGGAAGTCCCCTGGGTGGGGCTGAGGGAAGAGCCCCGACCCAGGCCAAGATGTCCCCACTCCAACCAAGGGGTCTCAAGCCTCAGAGCCCCCCAAAAAACATACCCATCAAATCCCTCAGGGCTGCCACCTTAACTCACTGCTGGGCCATCCAAAGCCCCCAGCCCGGGAGGAACAGCCCTGTCCCCTGTGTCCTCCTCCCCGCACCTGGGCAGGAGGGACCCCCTAGTGATGGGGGGGAGGCAGACAGAAAGAAGGTCACCAGCAGTGAGACCAGGCCCTTCTTCCGCACCGAGGCCTCCAGCCCGGCAAGGCCTGACCCGGGGCTCCCCTCCGACATCAAGTCAAGTTCAGAGACTTGAATATGATACTGACTTGGGCCTGAATCCTGGGCAGACTTCTCAGCCGGGGGTGGGGCACGATTCCAGCACAGAAGAAACGGGGCGGAAGGAGAAGCCAAGTTCTGTTTCGACTGTCGCATAAACAACATGAATTTCTGCTTTACCCCCTAGGGTGGCTAGGATGAACTGTGATACCAGCATGAACCAGATCTGTGGGAACGCAGAGGAAGCCTGTATTTCCACTGAGGAAGTTTGAGGGGGAGATTCTCAGCGCTGGGTCCTAGTGAAACAGACCAATCGGGACGACTGCTACCCGCTCTCGCTCTGTGCTTGCCAAGCACCGCACACAAACTAGGTCAGTGAAATCTCACATCCAGCCTTTGAGGTCTGTGTTACCATCCCATTCTTCAGCTGAGGCCTTCGAGAAGTGGTTTGCTCGAGGGGAAGTGGTTTGCTTGAGGTCACACTCCCAGCAGGGGCTCTCAGCATCCTTGACACCTGCTGTCCCGCACACTCCCCTCCAGCTGCCTCTGCTGCAGGGCTGTTCTGGGCTTGTCTGCGGGGCAGGTCAGAAGGACTGTGCAGGGGACCACAATGACATACAACCCGCTAGGATGGCAGTAAGGGTCGTAATCATAAAACAGAAAATCGGCATTGAAGAGGATGTGGAGAAATAGGAAGTCTTGCATGCTTTTATGGTGCTGGTCGGAATGTAAAATGGTACAGCTGCTGTGGGAAACAGTCTAGGGTGCCTGGGTGGCTCAGTCGTTGAGCGTCTGCCTTCGGCTCAGGTCATGATCCCAGGGTCCTGGGATCGAGTCCCGCGTCGGGCTCCCTGCTCTGCGGGAAGCCTGCTTCTCCCTCTCCCTCTGCCTGCTTGTGCTCGCTCTCTCTCTGTTAAATAAATAGAATCTTTTAAAAAACAGTCTACCAGTTCCTCCAAAAGTTCCACTTGGAATTATCATATGACCCAGCAATTCTACTTCTGAGTGTATTCCCAAAAGAATTGAAAAAATGTTCATACCAATGCTTGTACATGAATGTGCAGGGCAGCATGACTCACCATGGCCAAAAGGAAAAACATCCCAGATGTCCATTGACTGATGGACGGGTCAACAAAATGTCGTATCTTGTGGCAGGCAGAAGGAGAGGGAGAAGCAGGCTTTCTGCAGAGCGAGGAGCCCGACCCCAGGACCCTGGGATCATGACCCGAGCTGAAGGCAGATGCTTAACTGACTGAGCCACCCAGGCGCCTGTGGATGAACCTTTATGCGAAACATTCTGAACATTATGCTGAGGCAAAAAAGCCAGACACAAAAGGCCACAGATTGTGTGATTCCATTTTTAGGAAATGTCCAGAATGGGCAAACCCACCGAGACAGGGAGTAGGTTAAGGGTTGCTAGGGGCCGAAGGGAAAGGGGATTGGGAAGTACCAGGTTTTTTGGGAGGGTGATGGAAATAGTCCAGAATTGAATAGTGGTGATGGTGGTACAAGATTATGAATATACTAGAAAATTGTTAAAGGGCAAAAATGTAAAGTTTATAGGGACGCCTGGGTGGCTCAGTCGGTTAAGTGTCTGCCTTCGGCTCAGGTCATGATCCCAGGGTCCTGGGATCAAGCCCCGCATCGGGCTCCCTGCTCAGTGGGGAGCCTGCTTCTCCCTCCCCCGCTCCCCCTGCTTGTGCTCTCTCTCTAACAAACAAATAAATAAAATCTTAAAAAAAAAAAAAAAGATAAATAGGTCCTTGGGATGTAATGTACAGCCCGGTGAGTAAAAATCTTTTAAATAAGGAAATATAAATAAATATATATATGAAGTAATGAAGTATTGGGGAGCTGACAGTCCACCCAGCGAGGCACAGGATTGGCATAGAGTCTACCCACCTCCGAGAGTTCCTCCGTGAGGCTGAACCTTAGTGACCCCAACAGGTAACTCCACTAATGCACACCTTTACTGGTTGCCTTCCCTGACTCCGCCACCCTAGGTGTTTCTTGAGATCACCGCTCAGATAAACTGCCTGAACACCAAGTTTTGTTTCAGGGTCTACTTTTGGGGAGAACTTATGCTAAAATGGCTGGTAAGTATCAGAGCCTGCATTCAAACCCCCATCTACTCCTCATTCTGTTACAACCTTGTGGATGCAATGCTCTGAGAACCTTTTGTAGAAATGGTGGAAGGGAATTCTGGGCTAGAGGAACAACCTGTTCCAAATGCTCAGAGACAAAAGAAGCACACGGAAGCTGCCAGGAAGGGCAGGGTGGCCACGCCAGAGCTCAGACTGAAGGGAGAGCAGGCACGATGCCACAGAGTGGGATGTGGATACTTCTGCCCTGTGTCCATGGCCTTCTGGTCTGCAGTGGGCCGATTCGCTGGTCTGCCCGAGACAGGCTGGCACCCTGAAGGAAGCCCTGCCCTTCCTGGAAGCTTTGGTGAAGGGCTGGGGAGCCTGTTTTCCTTTTCCTCAAGGAAACACAAAGGGAATGTAAG